TGTAATTTTTAGGAATAACTCACTGAAATCTGTCCGAACAAGAGTCTAGTAAACATCCCGGGGATGATAAAACTTGAAATACGAAATCAGAAATTATAATTTAATAAATAATCATAAAAAATAATAATATAATAATAAATTTAATTCAATAATATATTCAAACCAAAAACACTGAAATTTTAAATAGAGCGCCAAGTTCGCACATCACTGAGCAAAGTCACAAAATCGTTTTCAGTGTCTGATGAGGAATTTCCCCACAAATCATTATCACTCAATTCTGCAAGTGGTTCTGATTTACTATCGCTGTTCTCTAGCCGGTCTAAAAACCGCTTTTGACCTAAAGGGACGCTTTTTGGACGCCATGGACGTTTCTCAGTTTCCAGGCAGAAAGAACAATAAAAATGCAGGCAGGGCGCCGGACAAAGCACTCGGGACACAATGTATGTGAAATGGTTTGATACAGGAATCTTATACTATGTGATTTTAGTGAATTTATTAAATGTCACTTTTTGTCATTTTCAAATTTCCCGCCGTTCCGTCCCCCGTACGTCCCGACGCTCGTAGGGGACGGAACCCAGAAGGCAGCTGCCGGCATCCGCCGGAGGACATTACAGGGGACACTGCAGGAGGGACATCGTGGGAGTGCAGGACAAGGTAAGTGCAGGAGGGATCCCGGAGCAACGCCGCATGGTAAGCCCGAGTGTAGCTCGGGGTCACCGCTTGTGGTGCTGAAACTTTACCCCGAGCTACACTCGGGAATACCGCCAGGGAGACTACACATGTTTAAGATTGATGACCCTTGAAAGAAGAACATTAGAGTTCAAATATACTGACGCTCTTTTTATTACATATTTTGTGTTATGCCACAACAAAGCCCGGTTACAATATGCCTGACAACACCTTGACACGCCTCATCGGGCTTTTTAGTGGCATTGTAGCAGAAAAGGCTTCTTTCTGGCAACTCTACCATGTAGCTCATTTTTGTTCATCGTATTGCGATCCTTGAAACAACCACACTGTCTTTTTCCAGGGCAGCCTGTATTTTTCTGAGGTTGCCTGTGGGTTTTTCTTTGTATCCCGAACAATTCTTCTGTCAGTTGTGGCTGCAATCTTTCTTGGTCTACCTGACTTTGCCTTAGTATCAAGAGATCCTCGAACTTTCCACTTCTTAATAAGTGATTGAACAGTATGGACTGGCATATGCCAAGGCTTTGGATATCTTTTTATATCCGTTTATATTGTTATAAAGTTCCATTACCTTGTTATGCAGGTCTATTGACAGTTCTTTTCTGCTCCCCATGGCTCAGTATCTAGTCTGCTCAGTGCATCCATGTGAGAGCTAACAAACCTATTGACTATTTATACTCAGACACTAATTGCAATTTAAAAAGCCACAGATGTGAGAAATTAACTTTTAATTGCCATTTAACCCGTGTGTGTCACCTTGTGTGTCTGTACCAAGGCCGGACATTCCAGGGGAGGGAAACTTTTGATTAGGACCATTTGGGTGATTTCTGTTATCATTGGGATTTGAAAAGGAGCCAAACAACGATGTGATAATAAATGGCTTCAAAAGATCATCATCCTTCAATAAAAGATAGTTTTCGGCATGATCAGTCATATTTTCAATATCAATGCCAAAATTTCATGATTTCTGGATATGCACACTTTTCAGGACAAATGTAGGTGGCTTCAGTGTCTGCTTTGGTGGGCCACATGTGGCTGGAGAATCCATCCCTCTTTCTTTGAGGGCTGAAAAAGAAATGGTGGCAAGCTGCCTTTTTTTTTTTTTTTTTTAATGACATGGCTATGTTTCTGTTTATCATTCGCTGATTGCTGTGTGAGCGTTACAGGCTCATATGAACTTTACAATTTTATGTACAATGATGATATAAATGTTTTAAAAATATGATTCTAATTCTGCCATAGATTACACTGTACTGACTGCAGAGTTTCCCTGAAGAAGGAGCTGTCTGACTCTGAAACGCGTCGGGTATTCTTTTACAGTTTCTGCACACCAAATTCTTATGTAACAGTTTTGTAAATTTGTACAGTGGTAGTAGAATTAGGCATGTTTAAGTCACAGCCGTGATAATTTTTTTTTACCGTTTATGATTGTTAACTCAATGAAAATTGATGTGATTATTTTAATAATTTGTGTATATCTGCCATTAAAGTCCTATTCAACAGGGGGGGGGGGGGGCAATGTCATTTTTATAATATATACTTTAGGAAGAGGAACCACATGAATGAATGCATACGTAAGATGACTAGTGTAATAATTTAGGCTGCTTTCACACGGGTAGCTGGGGGTGGTGAAAATGGGTGGTTGATCCACATTTTATGGCTCTCCTGAACTGGCCACCTACAAGCAGACATGGTGCCTCTCATGTGGCCATGATGGATCGCATTGCGTTACAGCAATGAAGATATAAATGTTTTCAAAAATATGATTCTAATTCTGTCACAGATTACATTGTACTGACTGCAGAGTTACCCCTGAAGAAGGAGCTGTCTGACTCTGAAACGCGTCGGGTATTCTTTTACAGTCTCTGCACACCAAATTCTTATGTAACAATTTTGTAACTTTGTACAGTGGTAGTAGAATTAGGCATGTTTAAGTCACAGCCGTGAAAACTTTTTTTTACCTTTTATGATTGTTACCTCAATGAAAATTGATGTGATTATTTTAATAATTTGTGTATTTCTGCCATTAAAGTCCTATTCAACAGGGGGGTCATTTTTATAATATATACTTTAGGAAGAGGAACCACATGAAGGAATGCATGTAAAAGATGGCTAATGTAATAATTTAGGCTGCTTTCACACGGGTAGCCAGGGGGTGGTGAAAATGGGTGGTTGATCTACATTTTACGGCTCTCCTGAACCGGCCCCTTACAGGCAGACATGGTGCCTCTCATGTGGCCATGATGCTTCGCATTGCAGTACAGCAATGATGATATAAATGTTCTAAAAATATGATTTCTAATTCTGTCACAGATTACATTGTACTGACTGCAGAGTTACCCCTGAAGAAGGAGCTGTCTGACTCTGAAACGCGTCGGGTATTCTTTTACAGTCTCTGCACATCAAATTCTTATGTAACAAATTTTGTAAATTTGTACAGTGGTAGTAGAATTAGGCATCCAAATTTTACGGCTCTCCTGAACTGGCCCCCTACAAGCACACATGGTGCCTCTCATGTGGCCATGATGCATAGCACTGCGGTACAGCAATGATGATATATAAATGTTTCTAAAAAATATGATTCCAATTCTGTCATAGATTACACTGTACTGACTGCAGAGTTACCCCTGAAGAAGGAGCTGTCTGACTCTGAAACGCGTCGGGTATTCTTTTACAGTCTCTGCACACCAAATTCTTATGTAAAAAATTTTGTAAATTTGTACAGTGGTAGTAGAATTAGGCATGTTTAAGTCACAGCCGTGAAAACTTTTTTTTACCTTTTATGATTGTTACCTCAATGAAAATTGATGTGATTATTTTAATAATTTGTGTATTTCTGCCATTAAAGTCCTATTCAACAGGGGGGTCATTTTTATAATATATACTTTAGGAAGAGGAACCACATGAAGGAATGCATGTAAAAGATGGCTAATGTAATAATTAGGCTGCTTTCACACGGGTAGCCAGGGGGATGGTGAAAATGGGTGGTTGATCTACATTTTACGGCTCTCCTGAACCGGCCCCTTACAGGCAGACATGGTGCCTCTCATGTGGCCATGATGCTTCGCATTGCAGTACAGCAATGATGATATAAATGTTCTAAAAATATGATTCTAATTCTGTCATAGATTACATTGTACTGACTGCAGAGTTACCCCTGAAGAAGGAGCTGTCTGACTCTGAAACGCTTCGGGTATTCTTTTACAGTCTCTGCACATCAAATTCTTATGTAACAAATATGTAAATTTGTACAGTGGTAGTAGAATTAGGCATCCAAATTTTACGGCTCTCCTGAAACCGTCCCCCTACAAGCAGACATGGTGCCTCTCATGTGGCCATGATGCATTGCATTTAACGCCATGTGCTGGGCTTCTCTCCCATGTTAGTGAATGGGATTGTGTTGCACCTACGAGGCAATCGTTTAGTTGAGGCAAGGTCCCACATTGAAAAATTGCCATTTGGCAGTAAAATGAAAAAAAAAAATTTGAGAAAAAAAAAGTATCAGTAGCCGACAGTATCTTTTCCTGAAAGCCTGCAAACCTCTATCTATGTTTTTACAATTGATCGATCGCTTTTCGGGGGGCGCAGTAAATGCTGCTGCTGGAGTGAAAGGAGCCATAGTCTGTGTTGTCCAAAGAGCTGCCCTTGGCACGGTGTCAGTTCAACACACAATATTTGCTTTTGCTATTTTTATCTAAGACAAAATGTGCTGGAATTTTGTCCTCTTCCACTTTCCTGGTATTGGAATCCTTGCCCTGTGCTGTCTGAGCAAACACAGGCAGTGCAGCCAGCTCTGTGTCTGACCACCGTGGAGTTCTGGTCACCGGACATCTGCATGTCCTGTGCTGCATGGTCGCTTGGCTGAGCACATCTGGGACAATCTGTGATGCACAGCCAATCAGGGTTCCGTTTGGATATAGGATATCCTGGCTTCTTCTGAAAATGCTGGTTGCCTGGTTGCTTTTGATCTCCTTACTCTTTGAATCAGTGACCCCAGCACTAGCATGCAGAATGTGACTGCAGAGTGAACCCAAGGCTCTTGATTTGTATCCTCACTCCAGGCATGGGACTGGTGTCACTGGATCTGTGTGACACCCAGGCTACAAGCATTTTGGAATAAGAGTGTAGCACGACCCTCTTGAGGGCCGCTGAGTATTTTTGGATTCCCTGTCTGTCCTGAGCCTGCCTTGAAAGCACAGCCCTTGCTGACACCACCGTGAACCTTTCACCAGGCAGACCACCCGGCTTCTAACCATAAAATAAACACACACAGTTTAGATTGAACAGATATTCTGGTTATATTAAGGTGTGGACAGGGGCGGACTGACCATTTGGAAACTCGGGCACAGCCCGAGGGCCCGGGGTCAGTAGGGGGCCCCATGAGATGCCCCTGGTACCTTTTTCATAGGCTTTTTTGAGTTTGGGCAAGGACACAGGGGCCCCATTATCCCCTATTGCCCGGGGGCCCCATGAGTTGTCAGTCCGCCCCTGAGTGTGAATATAACAAGGGCAAGCACAACAAGAATGACAGTAAAGGTGCATAAAAAGAAAAGTTAAACATTCCAAAAGGTTCAACAAAGTAATAAAGTACAGTATCACTTTAAGAAACCCCAAATGTCCTGCAGGATCAGAATTTAAATATCAATTCCGGCTTCTGAGATGTCTTTCCCCAGGTGAGCTGGAGTGAACTATCAAGCTGTCAGGCTAACTCCCTTTTGGGTTGTTATGATCCGCCAGGCGGAGCCTTCCGGCTGCCAACTGATAGACCAACCCAGAGCGTGGGGTCTAAGCCCGGGCTGTGCCTTCACCAGGGCCCCTGATGGTGGGGATGGACTTGAAACAGTCCCGGGCCAGGTCACGACCTCTGGGCGGGCCCACCAGCGGCTGGGAAGGGCCTCCGGGGATGCGTGTAGGTACCGGAGAGCCAGATATGAGGCGGATGACGGCCCCAGCAGGGTTGGCACGGATAGTGGTTCCGTGGGGGGTAAGCGGGGTACCAAATCAGCGGGCAAGGAGTAGTCAGGTCACATGCAGGGTCAGCCAGGTAAATCAGTCCGTAGAATAGTCAGGATATCCGAGTCAAAACGCAGGAGCAGGCAGAGTAGTCAGGACAAGCCGGGTCAAACACAGGGCAGGCAGCGTAGTCAGGGTTGAAAACAGGGTCACAGAACAGGAGCAGGTATCCAGGATCACATAAAGACCTTGCGGCAATGGGTGACAGTGCAGGGCATCTTTAAATAGTGCGCCCTGCACTGTCATTGGCTGGCTGGGACGCGCCCCCCGGCTGTCATTGGACGCCTGAGGCGCACCCTCGACTCTCTACTGCGCATGCGCGGCGTCCTGTCAGCCGCGGCTCGCCGCCAGTGCGCATGCGCGGGGGGACGGCGCCGTGATGCAGGATTCCGGCGCCGTGATCCCTGACACTGCCCCCCCCCAATGGGCACCCTCCGGGAGCCCCACTGATCTCTCCACCGCGCGGGTGTCCACGAAAAAATTCCCGGATGAGCCGGGGAGCGTGAATGTTCTGGGCGGGTTCCCATGAGTTCTCCTCAGGGCCATAACCCTTCCATTTTATCAGGAACTGGGTCTGGTTCCCCCTCCGTCGGCAACTGAGGATAGTCTCCACTTCGTATTCCTCCTGGTCATCTACGGAGATTGCCTCGGGAGGTCTGGACTCACGGTCCGGGAAAGGATCCGGTCTGGATGGCTTCAGGAGAGACACATGGAACACAGGATGTACCCTGAAGGTCTGCGGAAGCTCAAGCTCGTAGGCCACCTTGTTGACTACACGCTTTACCGGAAATGGGCCAATGTACTTGGGTCCAGCTTCCTCGAAGGATGCAGCATCTTCAAGTTGGTTGTTGACAGCCATACCCGATCCCCTGGTTGAAGCAGTAATTCTCCTCTTCTTTTCCTGTCGAACGCCCTCTTGCTGTCCCCTTGGGCTTTGGCGATGGCTTCCTGAATTGTCTTGTTATTGACAGAGAAGAAGTTTAAGACGTCCTGAGATGCCGGTACCGGGTTTTCAGGCATCAGGTCAGGGAGAAATGTGGGATGATACCCGTAATTGGCGAAGAACGGGGATTGCCCCGTTGCAGAGTGACTCGAGTTGTTGTACGCGAATTCTGCGGACGGCAACAACGTCAACCAGTCATCCTGAAGGTAGGACGTGTAACATCGCAGGTATTGTTCCAGCGTTTTGGTTGGTCCTCTCGGTTTGGCCGTTGGTCTGCGGGTGGTAGGCGGATGAAAGCGACAGCTTGATTCCTAGTGCTTTACACAAGGAGTTCCAGAACCTGGAGGTGTGAATTGGACTCCCCGATCTGACACTATATCTTCGGGGACCCCATGAAGCCTGACTACTTCCTTAATGAAGATCCGTGCCGTTTCAGGTGCCGATGGGGTTTTCTCCAGGGTATAAAATGTGCCATCTTTGAGAAGCGGTCCACGACCACCATTATTGCTGTGTAGCCTTGGGATGGTGGGAGTTCGACCACAAAGTCCATGGCAATCATTTGCCAGGCCCGCTTGGGTATTGGTAATGGACGTAACAATCCCCATGCCCGGCTCCTGGAGGGCTTGTTCCTTTGACAGGTGGAGCAGGTCTGGACGTAACGCTCGCAGTCCTTATTCATGTTCGGCCACCAGAACGAGCGAGCGCCGTAGTAGTTCCAGAGTTTTCGCAACCCGAAGTGACCTGCCATTCGATGGTCGTGGCAGTGCCCTAGGACCAGGGTTCGCACCTCTTCTGGGACCATGATCCGGTCTTCCTTCCAAAACAGCCCGCCGTGGTTCAGGAGGGGTGACCCCGACGGAACTGGTAGTCCTGTGAAGCGTCGAGGAGTCTGGAACGAAGTTCTGTTTGTAGAGCAAGGAAACTTCTGGAAGGTAAGATGGTGTCAGGTGCCACTGTGTCATCGGGGTCCTCAAACATGCGGGACAGAGCGTCTGTTTTGTGTTCTTAGTACCCGGGTCGGTACGTAATATGGAGAGTGAATCGCGAGAAGAAAAGAGCCCATCTTGCCTGGCGAGGTCTCTCAGTCGTTTCGCTGTTCTTAAATATTCCAGGTTCTTGTGATCAGTGAAGACTAGGATTGGGTGTGTGGCTCCTTCCAGTAAGTACCTCCCATTCTTCTAGAGCGGATTTGATGGCCAGGAGCTCCCGATCTCCAATGTCATAGTTACGTTCAGCCGGCGTCAACTTCCTGGAGAAGAACGCCACGGGGTGCAGTAGTTCCTTGGTTCCATTTCTTTGGGACAGAACCGCTCCTACCGCGTTCTCAGAGGCATCCACTTCCAAGACATATGGGAGGGAAGTATCCGGATGGCAGAGGATGGGCGCAGACGTGAATAATTTTTTGAGCTTCTCGAATGCCGTCTGGGCTTCGGAAGTCCACTTAAAACGGACCCCTTGTTTCGTCAGTTGCGTGATCGGGGGAGACCAGACCGGAGAAGTTCCTAACAAACTTTCTATAAAAATTGGAAAAGCCGATGAAAACGCTGTACCCCCTTTTTGTCGGCGGGTATTGGCCAATCTAAGATCGCCGTGACTTTCTGGGGATCCATCGCGACCCCCGCGGAAGAGAGAACCAGTCCAAGAACGTGATTTCGCGCTGTTCGAAACAGCACTTTTCTGCCTTGGCGTATAGCCCGTGTTGACGCAACCGTTCTAATACCCATACTACGTGACCTCGATGAACCTCCAGTGAAGGGGAGAAAATTAGGATGTCATCCAAATAAACTACTACAAAGACATCGAAGGAAATCACGAAAAACATCGTTGATGAAATGCTGGAAAAGGTTGCCGGTGCATTACAGAGCCCGAATGGCATCACTAGATATTCGTAGTGACCGAATCTCGTACGGAAGGCCGTCTTCCACTCATCCCCCTCCCTGATACGGACAAGGTTATAGGCCCCCCGCAGGTCTAGTTTAGTGAATATCATTGCTGATTTCAATCTCTGGAGGAGCTCGGGACTAACGGTAAGGGATAACGGTTCTTTACCGTTATCTTGTTTAGATCACGGTAGTCTATGCAGGGCCGTAACGATTTGTCCTTCTTCTCTACGAAGAACAGCCCGGCCCCGGCTGGGGATGTGGAAGGACGAATAAACCCCTCGCAGGTTCTCGTCAATATATTCCCTCAGTACACCCGATTCCGTTTCTGACAAGGGAAAGATCCGGCCGAACGAGATCTCAGATCCGGGTAGGAGGTCTATAGGACAATCGTAAGAACGGTGTGGGGGGGAAAAAGGAACGTCAGCCCCCCGCTTACTGAAAACGTCCAAGAAGTCATGGTAGGCCGGGGGAATAGTCTGGGATAGATTGGCATCACCGTCCAAGCACAGGAGGAACCGGGGACCCACGGATCCCGTGACCTGGCAGTGATTCAAGCAGTAGGGTGACCTAAATTGAATCGTTCCCCTTTCCCAGTCAATCTGGGGGTTATGGGCCCGCAGCCAAGGGAGCCCCAGAATGACTGGAAATAGGGGTGATGCGATGGCATCCAAACGGAGGAACTCCTGGTGATGGTCTGCTATTGTGGTAAAAATGGGTGGTGTCTCCTGGTCCACCACCCCTGATTTTATACTGGAGCCGTCTGCCAAGAAGATGTTGAACCCCCTTTCTTTGGTCTGCAGTGGTATTTTTTTGCCGGTGGGCAAAAGTCAGGTCGACAAAGCAACTACAAGCTCCAGAGTCAACGATTGCGGTCACCGATAGTGTTCTTCCCGGGAGCTGCAAAGACACAGGTATGGCCAGGTAATTGGACTGATCATCCCTTCCTGCGGGTAAAGTAAAAGAAAAGGAAGCGGACTTACTCATCTTTGCAGGACAGGAGCGCACCTGGTGACCAGCTTCCCCGCAGTACAGGCATAGGTTCAGCGATCGTCTCCTTTGACGTTCCCTCGACCGAACAAGTGGGAACGGGCCAGTAGTCCCAGCTGCATGGGTTCCGGGTTGTCCCCCGATTCCGTGCCACGGGGATGGTTCCCTGGGGTTGGAGCTGTGTCTCTCGGTGGGATCCATGCCACCCTTTGACCCTGGTTGCTCCTTTCCAGCCGACGTTCCCTTAACCTACGGTCAATCTGGATTGGCCAACTCAATCAGTCTTTCCAGGGAGTCTGGTAGGCCTACTCGTGCTAGTTCGTCCTTGAGAGACTCAGACAGCCCGATGCGGAACTGGTGACATAAGGCCGCATCGTTCATCTGGTTGTCTCCCATGCATCGCCTAAAGTCGGACGCGTATTCTTCGGCTGCCCGGCGGCCTTGCCGCAGCGAGTATAGGGTAGCTCTGCGGAGGCAGCCCGCTGAGGGTCGTCATACAATACTGCCATGGCCTGAAAGAACTTGGTCACGGAGTCAAGCTGGGGGTCACGCCTCTCCATCAGACGGTGAGCCCAATCCTGGGGCTCATCCTGAAGGAGAGACTATAAACCCCACCCTGACGGTCTCGGAGGAGAATGTGCGGGGCTGCAAGTCAAAATATAGTGTGCAAGCATTCCGGAAGGCTCGGAAGCGGCTCCGGTCACCACGGAACGTTCCGGCAGGGGAACGCGGGGCTCAGGAGCTAAGGGTGTGGCAACCGCTCCGGATGTTTGGGGTAGCGGGAGGTTCCCCAGACGCGGGACTCTGAGCAGGGGGGAAGTCTGGGGGGCTAATGTCTCCATGCGGTCTTCCAGTCGGGCGCAGCGACTGTGGAAGTTCTGGAAGGCCTGGGTCAAAGTTGCCAGGTGCTGGCAAATATCCTCTAGGGATGCCGGTCCACCTCCTGGCTCTGTCATGGCGCAAGGTACTGTTATGATCCGCCAGGCGGAGCCTTCCGGCTGCCAACTGATAGACCAACCCAGAGCGTGGGGTCTAAGCCCGGGGCTGTGCCTTCACCCAGGGCCCCTGATGGTGGGGATGGACTTGAAACAGTCCCGGGCCAGGTCACGACCTCTGGGCGGGCCCACCAGCGGCTGGGAAGGCCTCCGGGGATGCGTGTAGGTACCGGGAGAGCCAGATATGAGGCGGATGACGGCCCCAGCAGGGTGGCACGGATAGTGGTTCCGTGGGGGGTAAGCGGGGGGTACCAAATCAGCGGGCAAGGAGTAGTCAGGTCACATGCAGGGTCAGCCAGGTAAATCAGTCCGTAGAATAGTCAGGATATCCGAGTCAAAACGCAGGAGCAGGCAGAGTAGTCAGGACAAGCGGGGGTCAAACACAGGGGCAGGCAGCGTAGTCAGGGTTGAAAAACAGGGTCACAGAACAGGAGCAGGTATCCAGGATCACATAAGACCTTGCGGCAATGGGTGACAGTGCAGGGCATCTTTAAATAGTGCGCCCTGCACTGTCATTGGCTGGCTGGGACGCGCCCCCGGCTGTCATTGGACGCCTGAGGCGCACCCTCGACTCTCTACTGCGCATTCGCGGCGTCCTGTCAGCCGCGGCTCGCCGCCAGTGCGCTTGATGCGCGCGGGGGGACGGCGCCGTGATGCAGGATTCCGGCGCCGTGATCCCTGACATGGGTTCTCTGTTGCTGGTAACTGGGTTTAACTCTGGATATGAATACTTTTATTATAAGTGATAGTGTCCACTTTTTGTAGTTCTTTAAATAAGGGTGTCAAATCTTCTGCGTGCTTGATGGGGCCCTAGTTGGTGCACATTAACATTCAGTTCCATCCTTGTGTGAGAGCAAGATTTCCTTACGATGGTTTAATCATAGAAAGATTCCCCCTTTGAGTAATGGTGAATTTGGGTAAAGTCACTTTACCACAAGGAATAAAGGCAACAATTAGCGAAGACTGTAGAAAGGGGCGGAAACCGATTTCAGCAGAGGTTAACCCCCCCCCCCCCAAAGATGGTAAACTGGTCTGGTAACACAGGTTCCTATGGGGTTGGAAGAGACTTGAGATGAGATGCTAATATAATCCTGTCTGCAGAGTATACATGCTGTGGCCAAAGTCCTGCAGTTTCAGGATGTTAGTGCGGCACTAAAGCAGTAGGCTGCAATGCCGAATGGGTTGGACAGTCTGGGCCTCAGTGTGGTAAGCTGTGATGTAAGGTGTACTGAACTGAATAAAAATAATTGAACTTAACACTTGCAACCTGTGATGAACTAGGGTCGTTGGTTTCGAATCCCAACCACGGCACCACCTGCCTGGAGTTTACATGTTATCCCTGTGCCTGCGTGGGTTTCCTCCGGATAGTCCGGTTTCCTCCAAAAAGACATGCCAGTAGGTTAATTGGATCCTGTCTAAATTGGCCCTAGTATGTGTATGTATGAATGTGAGTTAGGGACCTTAGATTGTACACTCCTTGAGGGTTAGGGACTGAAGTGAATGTACAATACATATGTGTAAAGCGCATATAAGTAACTGAAATAAATAAATAAAATGTTACACACTTTAAGTATTAGAGGACCACTTTGACAGCCAGGCAACCAGCATTTTGCAGATTGAGTAGTCAGGAATGGTGGCCTCCACATGTGTGACATGAAAGGTTTCCTTTCATTTCTTTAGTATCGGAGGTAAGGCTGTGCTCACATTACATAATGCGCACACGGGGCGAAAACAAAAAATCTGAACATTGTCCAGCGTGGCATTCGGACTCCAGAGTCACTGACATTATATTTACTGATGGTAACACCATGTCCTAGTGACTTCCAGCTCCCAAGAAGAACTCTCTGTGTGTCGATTTCATTCAAATAGATCAAATCCTTATCTGAATGACATTATTTGTTAAAGTACTTTGTATTATAAAGAGTTGCCATATTTTATCCCCTTTAACCTCTTGCCTACCGGGCACTTATACCCCCTTCCTGCCCAGGCCAACTTTCAGCGCTGTCGCACTTTGACAATTGCGCGGTCATGCAACACTGTACCCATATGAAATGTTTATCATTTTTTTTGAGACCGATAGAGCTTTCTGGGTTTTTTATTTTTTGCTAAACAAATCAAAAACTGAAAATTTTGAAAAAAAACCCCACTTTTTTTCTGTTTCTGTTATACAATTTTGTAAATAAGTGATTTTTCTCCTTCACTGATGTGCGCTAATGAGGCTGCACTGATGGGCACTGATAGGCGGCACTGATGAGGGGGCACTGGTAGGCAGCACCGATGGGCACTGATAGGCGGCACTGAAAGGCAGCTCAGATGTGCACTGATATGTGGCATTGATATGCACTGGTAGGCACTGATGTGTGGCATTGATGTGCACTGGTAGGCACTGATATGTGGCATTGATGGGCATAGTAGGCATTGACAGGTGGCATTGATGGGCATTGACAGGTGGCACTGAAAGGCAGCTCAGATGGGCACTGATATGTGGCATTGATGTGCACTGGTAGGCACTGATATGTGGCATTGATGGGCACTAGTAGGCATTGACAGGTGGCATTGATGGGCATTGACAGGTGGCACTGAAAGGCAGCTCAGATGGGCACTGATAGGTGGCATTGATGGGCACTGACAGGTGGTATTGATGGGTACTGATGGGGCTACACTGATCATCAGAGCACACTGATCACAGTGCCCTGATGATCAGTGTAGATGTCCCCTCTGAGTAATGCCGATTACCGGCTCTCCTCTCCTCATGAGCTGTCAGAGTGACAGCTCATGAGGAGAGAAATGCCGATAACCGCCATTTCCTATTTACATGCGATCACCTGTGATTGGACACAGCTGATCACATGACAGAGCCAACGTCATCGGCTCTTTCCGTTGATCGGTGATCCGCTGTGTCCGAGGGACAGCATACCACCGATCACTGCGCGGTTTGAGTGGGAGGACGTCATATGACATCCTCCCAGAACGAGAGAAACCGCCTTGCGCCCGTCATTACCTTTATATGGCGGGCGGGAGGCGGTTAAAGCTGAAAAATGTTATTGCCACTCGGCATGTGACTTGACACACAGAATCGCATGACAAGTGAAAATACTTGTCCTGCATTCTATGTATGAAGGTGAAACATTTTCAGTATGCAGACACCCCCCCCCCCCCCCGCAAAACGTACCTGAGCCAAATCCAGCAATGTGCACAAGAGTGGCTGCTGTCCTGGCTCTCCGCCTCCTCATTGGCTCAGAGACAGCAACAGCAGCCAGTGGCTGTCAATCACAGCCAGTGAAGAAAGAGCGGGGGCAGGACCAAGCCCCGTTTTGTGTGTCTTCTGGACACAGTTGGGGGCAGAGGGGAGGAGCTAGGACCCGAGAAGAGGATGATCGGGGCTACTGTGTGCAAAACCACCGGACACAGCAGGTAAATATAAGTAAATGGTGATATCAGGGGCGGACTGACCATTTGGAAACTCGGGCACTGCCCGAGGGCCTGGGGACAGTAGGGGGCCCCATGAGATGCCCCTGGTACCTTTTTCATAGGCTTTTTTTAAGTTTGGGCAAGGACACAGGGGCCCCATGATCCCCTATTGCCCGGGGGCCCCATGAGTTGTCAGTCCGCCCCTGGGTGATATAGCGAGCGCTCGTCAAGAAGATAGCAGCTGAAACACTCAAGGAAATCACAGCAAAGGGAGCCCTGTACCCAGGCTGAGCACCCGTCTATCCTTAAGGGGACCTCTGGACCCAGCAGATTCTCTTTTCTATCCAAGCTTGATGACCATTGCCTAGAAGGAAGCTCACCATCCGCCTACTCCTGAGTCCTACCTGGTGGTTATACACTTCTATGCGCATTATCCATGCGTATTCGGTGAGTGCGCATTCTTACCATTGATTCCAGTCAAACGTTTTTAAGAGATCTGCTGTCTTGGAGATCATCACCTGTGCCACTTTAGAACTTTGCTCATTGAACGAACTTATATTTATATATATTCATTTATATATTTATTCATTTAAAAATGTAAGCCTTTGTGAGCAGTGCTTCTCTGTACAGAGGGAGGTTCCCACTTTGCAGTTGCTGGCAGGGACCAGGCTTTCCTTTTCTGACTGTGGCTGCTTTAGAAATTGAACTGTAAGATATCGCTTTCATTTCAGTGGCGGCTGTTCTAATCAACGCAAATCAAGTCACTGCGACTTTGAAAAAGGTTCCTACGCTACTTTGATGCGACTTCAATGCGATTTGAGTCCCATAGGCACACAAAGTAAATACAGCTGCCGGTTAACGGCGTAAGGAAAGTACTGCTGATAACCAGCAAATGTCACAAAGCAGATCTGCACTGATAATTAGGGGACTGATCAGTGCCCTAATCAGAAGTGCCACCCACCAGTGCCCAGCTGCCAGTACCACCCATCAGTGCTGCCCAGCAGTTGCACCCATCAGTGTTGCCAGTCACTGCTGCCCATCAGTGCCTCCTCATCAGTGCCCAGAAGTGCTACCCATCAGTGCTGCCCAGCAGTTGCACTTATCAGCGCCTCCTCATCAATGCCCACCAGTGCCACTTCATCAGTGCAGCCTCATCAATGCACATCAGTGAAGGAGAAAAAATGACCTGTTTGCTAAATTTTATAACAGAAACAAAGAAAAACTTTTTTTCTTTTTTTTTTTTATAGTGCAAAAAAAAAGGCTAACCCCCCCCAGTGGTGATTAAATACCACCAAAAGAAAGCTCTATTTGTGTGAAAAAAAAATTATTAAAAAATTCATATGGGTGCAGCAGGGCTGGATCTGGTTGGATCTAGCCTAATGTGGGGGTGCAGTAAAAAAAAAGTCAGGTGGGCAGAGGATGGGAGGCCTGATGTGTTTTGATGAGGCTGCACTGATAGGGCAGCACTGAGGTGGCACTGATGAGCAGCACTGGTGGGCATTGATGAGGAGGCACTGATGAAGCTGCACTAATATGTAGCACTGACGGGCAACACTGAGAGGGCAGGGAGGCAGCAGGACCTTTGAGGACAGGGGGCGACAAGGCAGAGGATAGGTCAAGCATTTTGTAGGGCAGTGTACAGAGGCTATTCCTTTGTAGGGCAGTGTACAGAGGCTATTCCTTTGAAGGGCGGCGTACAGAAGCTATTCCTTTGTAGGGCAGCGTACAGAGGCTATTAGTTTGTAGGGCAGCGTACAGAGGCTATTCCTTTGTAGGGCAGTGTACAGAGGCTATTAGTTTGTAGGGCAGTGTACAGAGGCTATTCCTTTGCAGGGCAGTGTACAGAGGCTATTCCTTTGTAGGGCAGTGTACAGAGGCTATTCCTTTGTAGGGCAGTGTACAGAGGCTATTCCTTTGTAGGGCAGTGTACAGAGGCTATTCCTTTGTAGGGTGTACAGAGGCTATTCCTTTGTAGGGCAGCGTAAGAGGCTATTCCTTTTGTAGGGCGGCGTACAGAGGCTATTGGTTTGTAGGGGGGCGTACAGAGGCTATTAGTTTGTAGGGCGGCGTACAGAGGCTATTCTTTGTTAGGGCGGTGTACAGAGGCTATTTAGTTTGTAGGGCGGTGTACAGAGGCTATTCCTTTGTAGGGTGGCGTACAGAGGCTATTCCTTTGTAGGGTTGGCGTACAGAAAGCTATTCCCTTGTAGGGAAGTGTACAGAGGCTATTAGTTTGTAGGGCGGTGTACAGAGGCTATTAGTTTGCAGGGGGGCGTACAGAGGCTATTTAGTTTGTAGGGCAGCGTACAGAGGCTATTCCTTTGTACAGTTGTGACCAAAATTATTCAAACCCCAATGCTGTAAAGGGGTTTAGGGGACTATAGTGTACATTTGGAATTGTATTCAGAATCAAATCCTACAAGGACGTTGTAACTACCCAAATGCAACTAAAATGACATCAATTGTTTATGTAATACAGTAGTAAATGGTTCTTATGTGGTTTCTTCATTGCCACAATTATTCAACCCTTAAAGACTACCACTCTGAAGAAACAGAGGTTCATACAGGTGCTTTCCATCAGGTATTGAAAAACAACTGTGGATGTCACGAGCGAGCAATCAACGCATAATAAGCACCAATTAGGCAGCTTTAAAATGACTGTGATACTCTGCTCCTTCTAGACATTTACTGGTGTGGTTACAAACATGGTGAAGGCAAGAGAATGGTCCAGGAAGACAAGAGAAGAGGTGATTTCTCTTCACAGGAAGGGCAATGGCTATAAGAAGATTGCAAAGATGTTAAACATACCAAGAGACACCTTAGGAAGCATCTTCGCAAAATTCAAGGCAAGGGCAGCACTGTTGAAATCGCTACCTGGTCGTGGCAGAAAGAAGATGCTGACTTCGACTGCTGTGCGCTACCTGAAGCGTAGAGTGGAGAGAAGTCCCCAGTGTGACTGCTGAGGAACTGAGAAAAAGAATTTGTAAGATGTGGGTACAGAAGTTTCAGCCCAGGACAATAAAGTACGCACACTGCGTAATGAAGGCCTCCGTGCCAGAAACTCCCAGGCGTACCCCCTTGCTGTCTCCAAAGAATAAGAAGAGTCGACTGCAGTATGCCAAAAGCCATGTGGGGACAAACCACAAAAGTTGTGGGATAGTGTTCTGTGGATGCTGATGAAACAAATTAGAATTGTTTGGGCCCATGGATCATCGCTATGTTTGGAAGGAGGAAGAACAAGGCCTATGATGAAAAGAAACACCTTGGCCTACTGTGATGCTTGGTGGAGGGTCAATCATTGCTTTGGGGCTGTTTTGCTTCTGCAGGTACTAGGGGAAGCTTCAGCGTGTGCAAGGTAGCCATGAATTCTCCTTCAGTACCAGGAGATATTGGATGGAAAACGTGATGCAGTCCCGTCACACACCTGAGGCTTGGGAGACGTTGGACCTTTCAACAGGACAATGATCCCAAGCATACCTACAAGTCCATAGAGCATGGTTGCAGAGGAAAGGCTGGAACATTTTGGAGTGGCCATTCGCAGTCACCAGACTTAAATCCGATTGAGAAAAAACCTCTGGTGGGACTTAAGAAAAAGCAGTTGCAGTGCGTCGCTAAGCCTAAGATGTGACTGTACTGGAGGACCATTTGCCATGGAATTGAATGGGCGAAGATACCCGTAGATCGCTGCGCAAGTACACTTGTGTCAAGCTATGCTTCACGTTTAAAAAGCTGTTATAACTGTCACAAGGATGCTGTACTAAGTACTAAGATTGAATGTCACTTGGGGGGATTGAATATAAATCTGATAATGCTGTGAGCACAGAAAAGACATTTGTGGTTATTTCATTATAACTGTTATGTTTATATTGTGCTGACCGCTACAAGTGCCTCTTTAATGTAAATGTAAGCAAGATGACTGATATGAATGATCAAAAAGCAATGTCAAACTGGCCAAAACCTCACTCAAATTTCAGTGGGGGTGTTGAATAATTTTGGTCAACAACTGTAGGGTGGTGTACAGAGGCCTCGTATAGTTTGTAGGGCGGCGTACAGAGGCTATTCCTTTGTGTAGGGCGGCGTACAGAGGCTATAATTGGTGGGGGGGGGGCTTGTTGGGCCGGCGTACAGAGGCTATTGGTTTGTAGGGCGGCGTACAGAGGCTAGTTCCTTTGTGGGCGGTCGTACAGAGGATATTGGTTTGTAGGTGGGGGCCGTACAGTAGGCTATTAGTTTGTAGGGCGGCGGGTACAGAGGTTATTTCCTTTGTAGATGGCGGCGTACAGAGGCTATTAGTTTGTAGGGCGGGGTAACAGAGGCTATTGGTTTGTAGGGGGGTGTACAGAGGCTATTCCTTTGTAGGGGGGTGTACAGAGGCTATTTGGTTTGTAGGGGGGTGTACAGGGCTATTGGTTTGTAGGGCGGCGTACAGAGGCTATTTAGTTTGTAGGGGGTGTACAGAGGCTATTTGTTTGTTTTAGGGGGGTGTACAGAGGCTATTGGTTTGTAGGGCAGCGTACACGCAGCGCTATCCCTAGTTTGTAGGGCGGCGTACAGAGGCTATTCCTTTGTAGGGCGGGCGTACTAGAGGCTATTGGTTTGTAGGGCGGCGTATAGAGGGGCTATTGGTTTGTAGGGAGGTGTACAGAGGCTATTGGTTTGTATGGGGGGCGTACGTAGAGGCTAACTTAGTTTGTAGGGCAATGTACAGAGGCTATTAGTTTGTAGGGCAATGTACAGAGGCGCTATTTAGTTTGTAGGGCGGTGTACAGAGGGCTATTAGTAGTTTGTAGGGCGGCGTCGTACAGAGGCTCATAGTTTGTAGGGCAATGTACAATGAGGCTAATAGTTTATAGAGGCGGATGTAAAGAGGCTATTAGTTTGTAGGGCCAATGTACAGAGGGGCTATTAGTTTGGTAGGGCAATGTACAGAGGCTATTGGTTTGTAGGGGGTGTGTACAGAGGCTATTATTTTGTGGGCAGTGTACAGGAGGCTATTAGTTTGTAGCGGCAGGTGTACAGAGGCTTTAGTATTGTAGGGCAGTGTACAGAGGCTATTAGTTTGTAGGGCAGTGTACAGAGGGGGACTATTAGATTGTATGGGCAATGTACAGAGGCTATTATTTGTTTGTAGGGGCAATGTACAGAGGCTATTAGTTTTGTAGGGCAATGTTCAGGGCTATTAGTTTGTAGGGCTGTTGTACAGAGGCTATTAGTTTGTAGGGCATTGGATACAGAGGCTATTGGTTTGTAGGGGGGTGTACAGAGGCTATTAGTTTGTAAGGGCAGTGTACAGCGGCTATTAGTTTGTAGGGCAGTTGTACAGAGGCTATTAGATTGTAGGGCAGTGTACAGAGGCTATTAGTTTGTAGGGCAATGTACAGAGGCTAATTAGTTTGTGAGGGCAATGTACAGAGGCTATTAGTTGGTAGGGCCAATGTACAGAGGCTATTGGTTTTGTTGGGCAGGTGTACAGAGGCTATTAGTTTGTTGGGCAGTCGTACAGAGGGCTATTAGTTTGTAGGGCAGTGGTACAGAGGCTATTGGTTTGTAGGGCAGTGTTACAGAGTTGCAAGAAAGGGTGACAGAAATGGGGTTTGTAGATAAGGCGGGAGTTACAGGGGAATATTGTACTCTTACAGGGGACTAGAGTGCGCAGAAGTTACAAAATTACACATCATCTATTTTTCTTTAACCCCTTGCCTACCTGGTAATCTATACCCCCCTCCCTGCACCAGGCCAATTTTTCAGCTTTCTGTGCTTTCAGGAAATGTCTGGGTTACATATTCTTTGAATACATCAAGCATTGAAACACATAGCAGCACTTTGATAATGGAAAGCAATAGCAATCATTAAAATTCCAAAACCTTCTCGGACATTGGGGGGGGGGGGGGTTGATTCACAAAGGCAATACGGCTGTGCACTCCTAAGTGAAAGTGCTGTTGTTCTAGATCTGAGGAAAACATGCAAGGAAAATAGGGGAATCAGATTTTTGGCTTGCACATGATTGGGATGATAAAAAACCAGAGAGCTCCGCCTCCTTTCAGAGCTTGCAGTGCACCGTAC